TGGGGCTGGCGGGCCCAGACGGCCGGGTCGAGCGGGCGGGTCGCTGAAGCGTCAATCCAACATGAATCGCACAGAAGCGTTTCGAGCGATTTCACGATCCCCAAATAAATTGTGAGAAAATCCACTGCGAGAGTGTGATTCCTGAGTATAGGGGGCTCGGAGCCGCAATCAATTGGAGGAAGTCCCGCGCGAGAGCGCTATTGTGAAATGAATTGTGTGGACAGATCAGGCGGGAGCCGTTGTCGTTGTTGTTCGGGGGCCAGGGGGCCAATCTGAGCCGCAATACTTCCCCTTGTAAAAACCGGGTACGAGCCCCAGGAGGATCACTTTCATTGCAAAAACACAAGGTGTCCTGGGGGATCAATAATTATTCTAGAAATCAGAATTCAATAATATTGAAGCTGGTCGCTCTGACATGCCCGCGTGTCACTCAACACGTATATCCCGAACCCTCGATACACGCCCTCTTCGATTTCGGTCGTACCCCCTTGAAGGTACATTTTCCTTACCTGCAACGTGTATTTCATGAGGACGGATGGAAAGGAGGATGGAGCACGCGAGAGATTGACAGGACGGGGGGCTAGGAGCAGAAAGCACGCGGCAGAACCAGACGGGCTGATCGGGCGGGTAGACCCTAACGGGCGGGTCGGGAAGGCGAGTCCAGCGGGTCGCTGAAGCGTCAGTCTTGCATGAATCGCAAGGATGTCTCGAGCGATAGCGCGATATCCCAGTGAATCGTGAGAAAGGCCAAAGCGAGAGCATGATTCCTGAGTGTCGAAGCGCTACGTCTGAATACACTTGAAAGACGTCCCACGCGAGAGCGCGATTCCTGAATCAATTGTAAGGAAATCCCGCGAAAAAAAGCGATGTTGGAATACATGGTGAGGAGGTATCAGGCGGGAGCCGCTGTTCTTGTCAACCAAGGGCCAACAACCCAATCTGAGCCTCCACCTTTTCCTTTATCTAAAAATAGGGTGCGAGCCCCTAGAGGAGCACTTCAAATGAAGAACACAAGTGGGACGGGGGGATCAACAACAATCAACAACAACAACAACAACAACAACAACAACACCAACAACAACAACAGCAACAACAACAACAACAACAACGACAACAACAACAACAATAGCAACAACAACAACAACAGCAATGACAACAACAACGACGACGACAACAACAATACCAACAGCAACGACACTAACTGTAAGACTGGCCACTCTTACCTGCTCGCGTGCCATTGAACACGAAAATCCCAAACCCTCGATACCCGCGCCCTCATCGTCTTCGACCGTACCCCCTTGGGGGTGTATCAACTTCACCTGCCACGCGTACTTGGTGCAACCCCTGGAACAGGGGAAGAGAGGATGGATGGAACGGGGAGGGGCATGGATGGAGCACGAGAGAAACTTGCGGGAGAGGGGCTAGGAGCAGAAAACACGCGGCAGAACCAAACGGGCAGATCGGGCAGGTAGATCCTGATAGGAGGGCCGGGAAGCCGGGCACTGGCGGCCAGGTCGAGCAGGCGGGGTACTGAAGAATGACTCTTGCATGGATCGCGAGGAGGAAGTCTCGAGCCATAGCGCGATCCCCAAGTAACAAAAAAAACGAGAGCGCGATTCCTAAGCGTCGTTGGCGCGGCGTTGGGAAAAATTGCGACAGAGTCCCTCGCGAGAGCGCGGTTCTTGCATAAATAATGAATCATTCCCGCGCGAGAGCGCGACTTTGCAAACACAAGTGTGGAAGCATCAGGCGGGAGCCATTGAACTCTCATTCCTAAAAAATACTCCAGCCCTCCTGTGGGGCCACCAGGCTGTAGGGTGAGGTTGCTGTTCCCTGCGCCAATTGCAGTTTCAAGTCTCAAAGTTTACATTCTTGCGTTTTGCGCCCTACTGTAAAGTGCTACTGTCCGCGATAGGGGGGAGCCGAAAACTACCCGGGTTACCTTCCCCCATGAGTATTTTCACAATTTCTGAAAGGGACCCTGGGCTACGTAAAAAGGCATGAGACTCGCGCCTCCGAGGCCACGACCCCTTGCAAATTACACCATTACACCACATTCGCGCCCCCCGGGGCCACGATCCTTAGTAAAGTACACAATGCTTGCTTCCCCAAGGCCATAAGCCCTTGCAAAGTGTATCACATTCGCGTCCCCGAGACCAAAAACCTTCGCAAGCTACGCGCTCTTCGCGTCCCCGAGGCCATAAGCCTTCGGAATGTGTACAATAACGCGTCCCTTGGGCCATCAACCCTTGTAAAATATACCATACTCGCGCCCTCGAAGTAGTTAAACTTGTCAAGCACGCCATGCTCGCGTCCCCGAGGCCACAGACTGTTGTCAATTCCGCGATGCTCGCGCCCCCGAGGCCATAAACAGTCGTAAAGGATTCAATAGCTGCGCCCCCGAAGCCATAAACCAGTTTAAATCATTTGATGCTCGCGTCACCGAAGTTTAAAACCGTCGCAAATTACATACAATTCGCGTCCCCGAGGCCATACCCCCCCGTAAATTACCCCAGAGTCGCGTCCCCGAGGCCCCAAACCGTCGTAAATTATATGAGATATGCGTCCCCGAGGCCATAAGTCGTTTGTAACTTCCACAAGACTCGCGCCCCCGAGGCCAGGATCCCTTGCAAATTGCAGCGCGCTCGCGCCCACGAGGCCTCACTCCCTTACAACAGACGCCGAAGATGCCGAAGACCGCCCAAGCCGCGCGACTTTACCCATTCTAACCTCAAGGAGCCCCGAGTCTTTCCAAGAGGGCCCCTAATGCACAGCATGCGGGGGCAAGTCCAAAATGCAACACCGAATTCAACAGTATCATCAGAATATACATCTTTCTTGTCGATTGCATATCGTCCTCGAATGAGGTTCCGACAGTGCTTCAGAACAGCGCCCAGACCTCACGACGTAGCTCTTGCATGATCCATTATCCGAACGAAGGGGCCAGCGGCAGGGGGCGAAGCCCTCACGGATTATTACTGTTGATCCCCTCCTCCTGTAAGCAATTGCACTATTCAATTAAACTGTTCCTCCCAGGTTTCGCACCTTGTTTTGTGAAAGAGGATGGTAAGGTAAGGTGTCACCAAAACTGTGCCCCTGGCCCCCAGGCTACAACAACAACAACGGCTCCCACCTGATACTTCCTCACAAAGTATTCCAAAATCGCGCTCTCGCGCGGGACTTGCTCATATGCAGGAAGCGCGCTCCCGCGTGGGAGCTCCTCGAATTCGGGGGCCTTCCTGGCCAGGGGCTCTCGGAGTAAATCGTGAAGAGGTATCGAGCAGGAGCCCTTGTCGTCGTGGCTGGGCCCCCGCCAACTTGACTGAATTGAGCGGAAATCTCTAGCGAAAGCGCCGTTCCTGAGTTCGGGGGCCTCTTTGGCCTAGGTGTCTCGGGGAAAACTGTGAGGAAGTATGGAGCGCGAACCGTTGCCGTCGTAGCCGGGCCTTCGAGGGCCCACTTTTACACTCAAGCCAACGCTCCAGCGGAAGCCTCGTTTTCGAAGAAAATGTAGCCAGGGTCGG